TTCACCCCCACTTCTCCGCTGACTTATATTTCTCTGCTATCTTCCCGCTTCCCCGATCGTCAATTTCTATCTCTCTCCGACTCTGCCAGTCATCCGAGCCCTAGAGTGCTCTTAGGTGATCAATCTTCATCCTCTCAGGGCTGTCAAAGTATTGGGTCAGGCCGCATGCACACACACACACACACACGCACACACACACACACACACACACGCACGCACGCTTTCACCATAACGAGTGGACATCAAATGCCAGGATTTACATATGATCACGACAGGGGGGCCAGTCACAATCGCCGGGAGCACACACGCTTGGATGTAATCACACAGTAAACACAAACGCACTCAATCACCAGCAGTGGCTCCCTCACGCGAGCAGGTTGCTCATCATTTCCTATAGCTGCCGGTTATAATGAGACGGAGGATGCCTACTGCCAGCGCAGGGTTTGCTGTGACTTTTTTGGCTCTGCCTTGCTGGCTCCGACCCAATCACAAGCTCCAGCAGCTCCAGACATTCCCGTCTCATCCTCCCCGTCGCAGCCAGGACCACCGAGCGGCGGGGGCTCGATCCAGGCCGGAGGGCGGAGCTCTGGGCTCCATTCACAGCGGCAGGCTCTGAGCCAAGCCCGGCCGCGCCACCTGAGCATGGACAAACACTGCCTCTGAGGGAGCGGAACCACAACGACGTGGCAATCATGTACACCCTCGGTAGGACAAAAAAAAAAGTAATTCATACTTCAGTTTTGTTTCAGCAGAGACCCCCCCTGAACTATTCCTGACAGCAGGAATGGCAAATAAAACTGGAACTGCAAGCAATTATTACGGGTTCCTCGTAAGATCCCGCCCGCCACCACTCACCCTCCCACATGTATGGTGATGCACAAATCTGTATCTGAAACTCTACTCCATAAGCTCGATGTCATCAATCACTCTGTAACCCGTTTTGTTACTGCTATCCCTTTTAATGCACACCATTGTCATCTACGCTCACTTGTAAAACCTGCCACTGCTCCGTTCACACAGATTAATAAATTGGTACAAATTAATCTGGAAACTATCAATGGCAAAACCCCTCCGTACCTTTGCCCACTCATCAGTATTTCCAACGATACTCGCATTTTATGTTCTTATAAATTCATCACTATGATGGACCTGAGAGTTCGTATATCCTTAGGCTGATCCTCATTTCATTTTGCGGCAACAAATTGGAACGACTTGCAAAAAAAAAAAAATGCCGAGAGATCAGTACATTCACATCTTAGTTAAAACCAGCGACTGATTAATGCAGCTGTTTTTACAAACTGTTCATATGTGTATTATGGTACATTTAGTCAGTACGAATGTGGTTGTTCTCTTATTTTTTTTTTCTGTTGTATGATATTTTAATGCGTTCTGAACAGGTTGCTGTTGAAAATGAGAATAAATTTAAAAAAAAAAGAAAAGAAAGAAAAAGTCTCCAAATGATTTGCACGTCCCCACGGCAACGCGGGTCCTGATAAGCAACTGTGAGAATCTTTTTTTTTTTTTTTCCTTTTCTAAAAGGCGTTCTTGTTCGACACCGTGCCTCTTGCCGATCAAGCAGAACAACACATTGCTTCAGCGCTGGCTGAGCGTAGGCCAGATATCAGTGTGGCTGAATTAAACATGGCCCGGCCTCATAAATACTGCACGGGGCCAGCACTCGGGGGAGCTTATCTGGACCCATCAGAGCTGGAAGCTCCAGTGCCCAGCAGGAGGAACGCAGCTACGCAGCTTGCAGAGTTAAAAACGTTAAGAGACGGGCGGCGAGCGTGCTAGCAGGGAGGACGGCAGCGTCCCTCGAACTGCGTGCCTCATGAATAGTAATACCCCGCATGAATGCTCTGTTTGCCCAGTAAGTGTTCTTTGTACACTGGCAAAGGCACACGTGTAGCGTGTGTGAAAATGGTTTGTATTTCCTGCCAGCTCACTCCAGGTAGCATGCATAATAGCTCTGATATGCGTAGCTTATTTTGTGTCAGGCTTTGTGATGGGGTAGAGAGTGCTTCCGAGTGACACACTCAGGAGTCATTTCCTTTTGTGATCTAGAGGGTTGCGTACGTGAAGTTCCTCTGTGAACAAAATTGTGTAAATCATTTAGAAATTACCCTGTTGGGTGTTAGAAAGGAGAGCCAGGCCTCCTGGTTTCCCTCCTGACCCCAGAGTTCATATCATCGGCGCTGCTGCCACTTGTCTCACACCCGTTTTACGCACAGCATTTTGTCATGCTACAACAAAAAAAATGCTTATTTACTAAATAATTGCATGTGATAGACCATGGGTGTCAGACTCATTTTCATTTCGAAGCATCCTCAAAGAGCCGATTGTGGCAGACATTTTTGATGAAACATTAACAAACTGTTAAGGTACTACAGCTTTCACTGCATATTTCTTAAATTGAAGTAAGATTAAAATCTTTTCACATTGTAATTGGTTTGATTTGACTGATGAAATCATATCTAAGCACACAACTGTTATCTTGAAGTGATATTTTTGTGGAGTCATGAGGGCCACGTAGTTAGTTGTGACCCGTGGGCCTCGAGTTTGACACATGTGCAATAGACCAAAACGAAGCAGTGTACAATTAGAGAGTTCTTTTCTTCCATGTCTCTCTAATAAAGTTGAATACCTAGAAGCTGTAAATGTTAGCTCCTTGCTCTTTGCGAAATAGTTTTCCGTTCTCGTGGCAGATTCAATTAGATTTAGGTCTAGACTTTGACTGCTTCACTCCTATCCAGGCATATGCTTTGATTTAGGCCCTACTACTGAATGAATGCTAAGAGGCACTTCCTGTCCTGCTGGACGATAATCCTCTACCTTCTTTCAAATCTGCTTAACGCACAATGTAAAGTTGCCAAGTCCACAAATTCTCCCACCTGAGCTGTGGATCTCTACAGCTCCCACAGAGTCACTTTGAGTGTCTTTCCCGGTTAGTTCTTTCCTTGCTCGGCCGGTTACTTTAAAAAGATGCTGGGATTAAATGAACACAGGCTTTATGTACTAAATGGTTTGCTAAGTACATCTGCACTTCTCTTTGTTGTTTTATTGCAAACAACACAGCAACATTTGCAGTTGCAATATGACGACGTGTGAAAAAGTTCAAGCACATAACTTCCCGTAAGAGCAGCAGGAGCTGCCATATTACCGCAGTCCATCCTTTCCACAGCTTGGGCCACGTTCTTCATAACTTTGCTCCCGGAGTTTTGTGATAACTTTGCAGCTAGGTGTTGTCAGATGTGTTTTAAATGGTATGGATTTGTACCGCAGCTGACACGGAGTCTGCAGCTCCCTCCTTTGCATAGTTAGAAATTATTATTGACTGGAAAGTTCAAAGAAGAGCTTTCATCTTAATTGCGTCACACCTTTCAATTTTTTATAACACGGGCTCTGCTGGATTTTAAACGCTTTCTCCAAGACGTTGCGGAATACAAATTCACCTGTTCAATAAACCCGTTTGCGTGGTGCAAACTGCAAACTCATTTTAAGGCAAAAAAAAAAAAGAAAGCGTTAGCTTGCACATAGAGAGCCAGTTCAGAAGGGTTCGGAGGAGACAGTGTTGCTATGAGGCCATTTTGTTGCCAATTGGAGTCACAGTAGCTCTTAGCTTTAACCCTCAGCAGTTTCTGCTAGAACCACATAGAGGCTTTAAGTTTTCTTAGGCAACATTTTGTTCAGTTTGGATGAAGAATTATAAAGCAGAATGTAGCTAAAATGTCTCTAACCTTCAATTTGTCACAACTTAATACCAGAGGAAAAGCCACACATCTGGCTAAAAAAAACAGTTTTAGTTTTAGCTACATTTTGAGAAAAGTAAGATTTCCCTCTTTTACGTTTTTTTTTTTTTTACAAAGGAGAAGAATGATAAATCACAACCTCTGCTTTGAAGACTCTTTAATGTCAGAATATTTCTGTCCAGTTTTGTCTGTTCTATAAATTGCTGCTTTTAATGTTTGTTTGATTCTAAAGTGGTCCTAATAAATAGTAGGTTTATTCGGCTTAGGTTTGAAGAGTATAAGTAGTTCAGATCTTGAACTAATGATGATGAAATGTGGTCCAGCCTCATTACAAAAAATGTGAGAAGAAAACAACGCCTTTTTGTCTGTGACTGATAGAAGGTGTGCATCAGGTGTGAGCTTAAGTATTGGCTGACAGTCAGCTGCTGTATTCTTACAGTTCTTACTTTGCTTCCTTTTTTCCTACTAAGAACCTAAAATGCATTCGGTAGAGGCCTCAATGCTTTTGTTTCACATCCAGTTTTGTGAATCTTCTGATTCTGATTTCCCTTTGCAAACTACAAGAATATATAAAAATAGCAACAAAAAAAAAAAATTCTTGTCTTCGCAGTGTCAGTGGACTTTATTTCCAAGAGAAGCAGAGGAGGCACCACAGCATGTGTGAGACAAAGCAAATGCTGTAAAGTCAGCCTAAACGTTGTCTACTTTAAGTCTCACTCTCTCTCATTCTTTCACAGCCTCAGAACAGTTGGCATCTCTCAACTTGTAGAAAAAGTTTTCTTTTGACCTTTTCTGTGGTTTTATTTATTTGTAAACACCTCCTCTATGCTAATGGTTGCTATAATTACAAACTTGCTCTGTCCACTCAGTGGCAGCATCCACACTGAAGAGTGTTGATGTCAGTGTGCTTACCTTCCTAAAATAATTGTTGGCTTATGTCATTTTATTGCCAAATATAATCACTTTCTTTTTATTACCAAAAGATAATTTAGGCTAAAAAGAATTGCTTTTGGTAAAAATAAATAAATAAATTAATTAATTAATTTAAAAAAATGACAATAAGGTGCCTTCACTGACTAGTAAATGATCAAGTCTTTGAGTTTCTGACTGATAAGTAAAAATTAAGCTGAAATTCATCTGATCAAGAGCCACACAGGGTTGATTCCCCTGATAAACTTACTGTTTTTAGTTGACCCATCAGAAGCAAAAACCCGCCCAGAAGAATAAAATAATACACATTGATCTTCTGACCTGGTTTCCAACGGGACGTTGCTGTTGAGCACCCAGCTGTCCTGTAGCTGGACCGACTCCGGGGTGGTGGGTCCATCTCCGGTGCCCGGAGCCGGGGCGTGAATGGGGTTCCGTCCTCCCCTCAGGGTGTTTCTGTTCAGGCTGTTTGCAGACTGGTGGGACAGGTTGTGGTGGTTGTGTGGAGGCGGCAGTGGAGGCTGCAGCGTGGACTGACTGTGGTGGTTGGCGGCCCCTGGAAGACAGAATTTTTTTTTTTTTTTTTTACCAGGATTCTGAATGAGGAGATTGTATTCTCCAAACTGGACACGTGCAAAATTACAGCTGACCTGTTATTCTACAACAGGCGTTCATTCATGTAGGTGAAACATAAAGCTCTCGGGCAAATTAACACCCAATTATACAATATTTTTCAACAATCATCCAGACAAGGTGTCATATTGTCAAAACAATCAATAACTCACGCCGACAGACGACTGCAGCAACAAAGACACGTGAGAACTTCATCTCCCCCTATTTCCTTTCACAGTTTCGGTACTCCATTCTTCTTTTCCCCCCGGCATCATCTCTTCCTCCCCCCTCTTCCTTTATCCCCTCTTTTCCTGCCCAGCGTTTCTTTGTCACATCTAAGCGGACGCACGCGTGTGAGTGTGTGTGAACAATATTAGAGCACTCAGCGCTGCATGCGCCCTCATCTCTTGCTCTCAGACTTGAGGGAACATGTCAGCTTGAATCCAATAGCAGCCCCCTCCAACAATGAGCTAATGGACTGTTGAGTGAGGGAGCTGAAAAACAAACCGGCATGACTCAGACAAGAACACCCATTCACACATCACCTTTCTCCCTTTTCCCTCTCGCTAAAGCAGCAGCGGGGCGGGGCGAGCGGGGGGAGGGGGGGCCTGAGCCCATCTTCATTGTGTGTGTGGTTTGCTCAGGAAAATCAATAAACCACATACTATACAGCATAAGCGGCAGCCCGACACAATTGCCTCACTTCACAGGCTTTAGCGAGCGTTTTGTTTATGGGCTCGGACTCGGAGCACAGCTGGCCTGAGTTAGCTTAAAATGTACGCCATTAAAAAGGCACCTAAAGAGAGCAACTCCAGCACAAGGTTCCTACGCGCCTTATATTTAAGTTCTGATGTATGCCGCCAGAAATCCTCAGTCTGAGTCGTTTCTTAAAGTATAAACAAAACATATTTTTATTTTCTCGGCCGTTAGTCTGTTGATGTGTAACATGGAAAACTAGAGACTTTAAAGAAGGAAAGGAAATATGAGGATGGATGGATGGACAGATGGATGGATGGATGGATGGATGGATGGATGGATGGATGGATGGATGGATGGATGGACAGATGATGGATGGACGGACGGATGGATGATGGATGGATGGATGGACGGATGGACAGATGGATGAATGATGGACGAACGGATGGATGGATGGATGAACGGATGGATATTCAGATGCATGGATGGATGAACGGATGGATGGATGGATGGATGAACGGATGGATATTCAGACGCATGGATGGATGGACGGTTGGATGGATGAACAGATGGGTGGATGAGCAGATGGATGGAAAGATGGATAGATGGATGGATGGATGGATGGATGGATGGACAAATGGACGGATGATGGATGGATGGATGAACGGATGGATGGACGGACGGACGGATGGATGGACAGATGGATGGATGAACAGATGGATGGATGGATGGATGAACAAATGGATGGATGGACGGACGGATGGATAATGGATGGATGGACGGATGGACAGATGGACGGATGATGGATGGATGGATGAACGGATAGGGGGAGAAAGGGATGGAGGAAAGGAGGGT